ATGTGGTCGGATTTCCAGCACTGCACTGTATGATGGGGAAAATACCCCGGAATTCCAACTGTATATGGAGAAACAGAATCTGGAAATCCAGACGAGTATGGAAAAAAAATTCCTGGAAATCCAGGCAGTTATGGCTACTAAATAAAATATGGCCTAGTTTATCTCGCCACATACCGGTTGATGAGGTTGGATTTCCAACAGTATGACAAAAAAAAACTTGGAATTCTGACTGTATATGGTAAAAAAATTGGGCCAGTATGAAATAGTTATTACTGAAATTAGATAAGGATGGTGGCACGAATGAGCTCATCAACACCGTGAATCAGAACTAGTTTGGATTTATTATCAAATATAAAATTTTGAACTTGGTAAATTAGCATATGATGAGTTATATTTGGAAATCCTACTCTGTATGGTGGCACAATAGAACTCATCAACACCATAAGTAGGAACTATAGTTTTGGATTTCCATTACTGTATGGTGAATGGTTATTTGGAAATAAAACTTTGTATGACTTATACACCCATGGAAATTATACCCTGTATGAAGAAAACATGCAAGCTCATCAACAGGGGGGTGCAGATATAAACTGGAATGGCCCAATGTACTTTTTTTCTTTTGTATCTACCGGTAAAAAATATTTCAATAACATATTTTTTTTACAACACAAAATATTACATTACATAGTGGTATACGGAGAGAAAATTAAGGGAAAGGAAAAAAAAAAAATTTGATCTGGTATAAAAACTAGATTTGACATTGTACTCACCTTAACATCAGCTGAGATACCACTTGACGTGTCACCAAATGTACATTCATCTTTGTATATGTTAGCAACTGGTCCACTAAATTTCAGTGCATCTCCATAATCTGGCACAGTATCACGGATACCACCAGGTATATGCACATTGCCTACTCCCTGATTCATATTTATGTTTGGTATCTCATCTCCTTCAACTAAGGCTTTAACAGTGTCTTTGATTTCATTGATCGTTTCACGATTCTTCCGAAGACTATCTTCCAAATTGTTTAGTTTTACTTCCAACATTGAGAGGTCACCCTAAAAAAGGGAGAAGAAACAATTTCGTAAGAGTAAATATATCACAAATTTTAATCTAGCAGGAATGTCCAAGAAAAAGTTGAAAACATTTTAATTTTCCAAATTTTTCTGAGAAAAATGGCTGCGAGTCGGTCATCAAATCCAAAAACTGATTGATCTTAGATACAACTGAAAGCCAAGATCTTGTTTTTCTCCCTTAAATGAAAAAAAAGTGTCATCTTAAATTCTCTTCGTCATCACATCCACTGTTCGAACACCATGGTTACATGATATTGTTTTCTATACTTTTATGTTTTATGTTTATCTTTTAACAAATGAGCACAATTTCAATTGTGCTTGTATCATTGAAAAATTACGAAGAAATTATAGAAAGATCCATTTTGTAAAAGATGAAAAAAAAAAATTGACTTTGGTGCCCTAAGGACTGGCACAGTCATGGCACTCTGATTGTTTTATGTGATGATTCTTTCTTGCAAAGAGTAGAATCTCTCGCGATGCAAAACTTCCATGACTAGTCAGTTCTGCCACGCCCCTGTATAGCAGTCACCACATTATTGAGGTGATAAATATGCTAATAAGTATCATGATTGTAAGCTGTCAACCAATAAAAAAGGCAGATTTTGATCTGACCTGCTCTACGAAACTGTAACGCACAAGTGACAGACAGAATCTTTTGCACAAACGTACATCTCTATTTTCCTCATTTGGAAGTGTCCCACTCACGGATTCCATAATGTCACTGCATATCATGCATAATTAATAGAAATGAATACATCTGACCAGTCAGGGTAATTTCGCGTCAGACGATTTAAAAAATAAATAAATAAACAAAATGATTACGACTCGACCAGTCTGAGTTCAAAGGTTAAAGCCTGGTATTAATGACATACATTGTACATGTATAAAAATGTATGTCTAAACACAGACAATAGACAAATAATTAGACAAATTTTATTATGAATTTAAATATTGAATTATTAAAATTTATAAATATTAAACAATTAATTTAAACACTTTCCAATTAACTATTACATTAACTATATTGTATTTAATAAGTTTGTGACTGTCGGTAAAACACACACAATGGATAAGTACTATGATGGCTGTCAAATTTCATCAAGTTTTAATTTAAAATAAACAAATATTAGATAATTAAACACTTTCTAATTAACTATGACATTAAGTATATTGTATTTAATAAGTTTGTCACTGTCGATAAAACACACACAATGGATAAGTACTGTGATGGCTGTCAAATTTCATCAAGTTTTAATTTAAAATAAACAAATATTAGATAATTAAACACTTTCTAATTAACTATGACATTAAGTATTTACGAGCAAAAGCAAAAAAAAAATGTATTAGAAGGACACATCAATGTTTTCCCAAAGATAGTGAGATTATTATTATTACTGTAGTCGCATACAGTCTTAAATGCATACTTTCTGGAAGCCGGTGAAAATTCGAGAAACAACACAAACTCGACTTTGAAGTAATCCCGAACAACCAAATTTATATATGTTACAAAAGCAGGGGTTATCTTGTTACACTGTTCAGGGGAGTCTCAACAACCACCCCAAAGTACCATTTTCTGTGAGTTTTTGGCCTTTGTTTTCACATACCCAGGTATTTACATGACCGGGATTATTCTAAAAAAAAAATGCAATTCAGCGGTGCCACCAAGTGGGGGAGATAGGGTTCTCCCTACCAGGGTGTGGAGTTTTTTGATAATTGTGGCCGCATGTGATCCCTGGTCAATCAGAATTTTATGGTTGCCAGAGGATCTGCTGCCCAGGGTAAGGGGGCACATGGCCATGGCATGAAGGCGCTGCGCACCCATGTTCCCTTGTTTAAAAACATCCCTGAGGATATAATGTTGACCCTTGTACAGCAATCCTGCTGTGTCAAGGTTTGTTCAAAAGAGACTATATATTACGCACTGTATACTGAGCCATGTGAAAACTTGTTTGAAAACTATGGATAATGATAGTATTATCATTTACATCAGGCCTTGCCTTTTTGAAAATGGCTGGAGTTAAAAACACTGAGGCCAGTAATGGGAGTGATTTTAATGTGTTAAGGAATAATACGAGGATACCTCAAAGTATGCAAACAGGACAGCAGGATTATCGACAGACGTGCAGCGGAAGTCGATGCAACAGCTCACTGTCCGACTACATACTTTGAGGTATCCTCGTAATAGCTTTATTATTATACATCTTTTCCTTCCAAGGATACATCAGGGAAATGCCGAAATAGTGAACTTCTTTGTGTTGAGTCAGGTGGCAGCCATGTTTGTTTTTCTTATTATTAGAGAACGCTTACGCGCATAATCATTCCATATTCGGAATTTGCATTTCCTTTAAGGATGAAAATACCCCGTAAAATACTGCAAAATTACGGCACACTGTAACTTATGGTGTTAATGGTGACAGATGTATAAAATATTGCATATGTTTAATTAATTTAAAAAAATTTTTACACATAGGTAATCACTTCATCTGTTTACACATACAGTCAAATCAACCAAAGCACGTACAATGGTTTTCATCAACAGGTGGTTCCTCATATGGAGGAAGGATTATTTTTCTATGAATTGCCAACTAATACATTTGAAAAAATAATTTGTCCAAAAAATAATCAGATGGTACTGTTGTAACAAAGACATTCATTAAGGAGGGAATAATGAAAAATTTGTTATCAACAATATTATCAATTGCATGCAATATAAACTATATTACATTGTTGTATGTTTGCGTGTAAATATTCACAATTCACTCTTTTTCATTACAAATATTTGAGGTAAATAAATTTCATATTTCAAATTTGTGCAAAACAATCACCCATATTTAAGGGCAGTGACGTGCATGTGTGACATATGTATCGATAAAAATAGATTTTCATATTTCAAATTTGTGCAAAACAATCACCCATATTTAAGGTCGGTGGTCGTCACGCTGCGCATGTGCAATATTTGTGTTGAAAAGAAATCTTGAGTATGAGTTTTGACTTAGGTGCGTCTTGCGTCGGTGAAATTTTACTCAATCGGTAATCGCTTCATCTGTTTACACGTACAGTCAAATCAACCAAAGCACGTACAATGGTTTTCATCAACAGGTGGTCCTCATATGGAGGAAGGATTATTTCTGTATGAATTGCCAACTAATACATTTGAAAAAATAATTTGTCCATAAAATAATCAGATGGTACTGTTGTAACAAAGGCATTAAAGAGAATAATAAAAAAATTTTTGAACAATATTATCAATTGCATGCAATATAAACTATATTACATTGTTGGTGTTTACATGTAAATATTCACAATTCACTCTTTTTAATTACAAAGATTTCAGGTAAATAAATTTCAAATTTGTGCAAGACAATCACCCATATTTAAGGGCAGTGCCATGCATGTGCAACATTTGTGTCGATAAAAATAGATTTTCCCACAATCCAATGCGTTCTTCTAATGAAATCTTGAATACGAGTTTTGACATGCGCACGTCTTGCACTAATTACCACCAGTGACTCTTTCAGTACCAGGGTTTTTTCTAAACCGGGGAACAGGGGCGAAGCGCCCTAATACTCTTGGCTGGCGCCCTCTTACCGAATTGCCGATTGAACTTTCAAGTCATATATATATATTTCTTGAGCTGCGCTCTTCAGTGCTGCCGTACAACATGGAAAATTTTTCAAATTTATTTTTCTCCGTGAAAACTTCCAAGCAACACCAGCTGACAATGCGTTTAGACATCAAATACATGTACACTAAAATTATTAAAAATTTGTCAATGGCGATAGATACACCATTAAAACGGAACAGAAACCTTTCGATATGGCGTTTCCAGGTCGATCCGCCCTTCCACACCTATCCCCCCGCCTGGTCGCTCCCCTCCCTCGCAGTTGTGTGCTCCCTCTTGTTCAACCCCTGAATCCCTTCCAATCACCTAAAAAATACTAAAGCTTGTCAACACCTCAGATAGGTGATTTTCCGTACAATTGCGAGATCTCGCGAGATGCATGAAAAACGCGCGTCGAACGTCTGCCGCAAAAATCAAACGATTTGATTTTGAACTAGAATTTCTTTATTTCGTAGCTTACATTGACCTTCGACAGAGGAATATTGCTTCCGAATACCCTTACTTAATCGAAATTGCCTATCATCAAATGTGGACAGCACATTATTAAGCATGGAAATGTCCCCGAAATACTTTTGCGTTTGTCGAATCCCACGCGATGTTTGACGCGACTACGACGCTATGATTTTTGTTTGTCCTGTTTTTACGTTCGATTTCACGCATAACGCGTGATTCTCGCAGTGAACGGAAAATGGTCTATTGTACTCACTGGTTTTCGCAACAGTCAAAATTGCCATCGATGTTTACCGGAGACCCATATCCCACACATGCATGGCGTGACAACCACCGCCCTTTAACTACCTCTTGGAATGAATTCTGAGCCTTTATTTTAATACCTGTACTCTTTAAAAGAAAAAAATAAAGACAGGTCCTTCGTACCCTTCAAATACTGTAAAAACATTTTTTTTCCCTAGCATTTAATTTCACTACATGCATTTTGATATTTTGAGCATAATCACTTAAAGTTTAAAACTGTTATTTAGAAACAATGTATCCTATTGTAATTTTGAAGCATATGAGAATAAAGTGCTAAAGAATTTGAGCGAGAAAGTCTGATGGTCTGAAAGACATTTTCTGGGTACTCTCTGGACTTTTTAAAAGTGATTATTAAAAACAGAAAACATCGTAATTTTATATTCCAGCAGGCACAAACAAAAATTTAACAACCTCCCCTTAGACAGTTGAAGAAAGTGCAAATAAGATTTGTATGAATAATTAAATTTTTTTGAGATAAACAATGTCGCAATACAAAAACAGATAACAACTTAGCCATAGTGCATACCTAGAGAAAAATTAATTAGTCCTGAATCAAGTTTACAAAATTCATCAAAATTATTTTCAAAACATTACATCATTTTATAGC